TGCCACCAGGGCTTGTCCAAGACCCTAGTCTCGCTGGTAATTCAGCTATCTAAAAGCTTGGTGGATTTTAACCCATGATTCCTCTGCTTCTCCTGTGTAGAGGTTACCTCGCCCACCTCCCTTGTGTGTCTCATGATTTGCTTACTGCTGTTGCTGCCGTTGTTTGATCAAGAGATCTGCTCAGCAATTGGCTGACATGGTTAGTTAAGTGTTGTACACTTTCACGTGTACACTCTCACACGTGCACTCTCACATGCACACTCACATGTACTCTCACATGCACTCACATGTACATTCATATGCACACTCTCACATGTAGACTCTCACATGCATTCTCACATGTACACTCACATACACACTCACATACTGTCACATGCACACTCTCACATGCACACTCACATGTACTCTCACATGCACTCACATGTACATTCATAGGCACACTCTCACATGTAGACTCTCACATGCACTCTCACCTGTACACTCACATGCACACTCTCACATACTGTCACATGTACACTGTCACATGTACACTCACATGCACACTCACATGCACACTGTCACATGCACACTCACGTGCACACTGTCACATGTACACTCACATGTACACTCACATGCACACTTTCACGTGCACACTCACGTGCACACTGTCACATGTACACTCACATGCACACTCTCACATGCACACGGTCACATGCACACTCACGTGCACACTGTCACATGTACACTCACATGCACACTCTCACATGCACACTTTCACATGCACACTCACGTGCACACTCACATGCACACTCTCACATGCACACTCTCACATGCACACTCTCACATGCACACTCTCACATGCACACTCACGTGCACACTGTCACATGTACACTCTCACATGCACACTGTCACATGCACACTCTCACGTGCACACTCACACATATACTCTCACATGCACACTCTGACACATACACGCGGCAATGGAAAAGACCAGGGCTTGGGTCAAGGACGTATCAGTCCTCAAGGGGACACCTTGGCTTCTGAACACTTTGAAGAGGTCATTGACAACAGCCTGCCCTGCCCGACGCTGCCCCTTGTTGGGCTGAACATCTGCACTGCTGCCCTGAGGTGCTGGACTGGTCTTTGATTACAAGTCACAGGGGAGGCTGTCTGTCCCTTCCCCCCCACACACACCTGGAACAGGCGTGGAAGCAGACAAGTTTGTCAGTGTCTTTGGGGGTCAGGTGGCTTCCTCCCTCACCACCCCATCCTTTATGTCCTATACAGACATCCTAAAGTCTCACCTCCCACTCCCCCAAATTAACCTCAGCCCCATAGGTTCAAGACTCTAGCCTTTGCACCCCTCTACAAGTGGCCTTCTGCTCTGTGGTGTTCACTTAGTCCCTGGGGGCCGACCCCATTCTCTTGTCAGCTCAGCAATGCATTAAAGAGTGTGTGCCCTGCCCTGCCCACTGCCAGGATGCCCCCCGCTAGACTATCTAC